GTCACTTTTATTCTACAACATTTCTTTACAAGTATTAACCTTTATCCTAAATCTTATTTTATCAACATAGAATTGTTTGTCATACTGCATACGATACTTGGTTCTAAACATCTGTATTTGATCCTGGGTAAAATTGAAAAGTTCCATACCATAACATTGTAAGTATGATTATATTAGAGCCACCTTATTAATACTTCACAAGGGGAAAAGAAACGTTTTAAGTAGAAATTATTATTATTGTTTTAAAAACTTTATTTATATTAGGTTGGTAAGAAATTAACGTCGGTTTTGGAGTTTTCAAACTTTGACACTTAGTTTTGAGATAACAATTACTTCTTCTATTTATGTTATAATATCATTTTATAGTGCTGATGTTGCTCTACACGCTGGTAGGTATGCTTTTGTTTTCACTGTTAATTTGTGTTCACTTCAGGACTATTCACTTCAGGATGAATAGGAAGCAAATTTTATTATTTTCCTTATATGAGTATAAACTAGGTCATAAAATTGCGGAAACGACTCGGAATATTAACGATGCATTTGAACAAGATGCCGCGAATGGACGCGCATGCATAAAAAATTGCAACGATTAAAGCCAACATTGGCCAATTGTAAGGGCGCAATTCTTTTCATCGCACAATTAACGCTACAAAAGTTGAACGAATTGAGCTATGAAACTCTGCCTCATCCAGCATATTCCCTGGACCTATCGCTAATCGACTACCACTTTTTCAAACACCCCGACCACTATTTGTAAGAGAAGATCTTCGCCAACCAAGCTGCTGCTGAGAATGCATTCAAAGAATTCATCAATTCTAGAACACCAGCAATTTACGCTATTGGAATTAAAAAGCTCATTTCTTGTTGACAAAAATGTGGTGATTGCGATGGATCTTATTTTGGCGAAAAAAGTTTATTCTAAGTCGAGATCTGTGGATTTAAAGATGAAGTTTAAAAACCGACATTAATTTCTTACCAACCTAATAACAATAAATACTTAAACTACTCGTTTCTACGTTTCATAATTCTTCGTTTCTCAGTTCTCGTGAAAGTTTCACTTTTCGATACTTGATACGTCGTGGTTTGGAACCCTCCGATTATGGTACTCCACAAGAGTCGCAGAAAAGAACGATACGATCTTTATACTTAACAGTACTTTATTGTTGACATTATTACACGTTATTATAAATCTATCATCTTGACACGTATAATACTTACTAAATCTACAGAGACAAGTGTAACGTTAACCTATAACTAAACATACATTACGGCATCGGTACTTATTTTAGTAAAGGAACAAACAGACGTATCGTTTTTATTTTCGTCACAATACCTTAACTCACGATAGCTCAGAGTCGACGAGAATTAGTCAAATATACACCGTTCAAAATGGATCATTCTCTACAATCTTTCTCCCCTTTCTTTCGTTCACTTTTTGTACATGAAAACAGAAAATGAACAACATTCGCGTTCGTGTATTCAACTTAAATTAATATTTAACTTCTACGTCTCTATATCGGTCAGCCGTGAATTTGTCCAAGTATTAGAATCGTTGTTCTCCTCGCCGCCATCGCTCCTTTTGTAACACAGATCGAATGAAATCGATTCGTATCTTTTCTGACACCACTTTTGTATTCGTGGAACACTGGACACATTGCCAAACGAACGAGTTATGGGCGAATTATGGTTTCTAATACGATTCCTTGGAGAAATTGGCGAAGGGTACTATATTATGAGAATTAAGGGGTTATTTCTGTGAGTCTTATTACGAGACAAAGTTATGATCGAAAAATTGATAGCGCAATATATGATAAATTAATTTTTGGAATAATTTTTACTAGAATTTTAACACCGACGTCGTGAATTTTGAAAATGACATAATTTTGGACAATACAGTTAATTTCAAATATTCCGAAAATTCTCTTCGAGTAAAATATTGTTCCTAACGAATGACGAAGTAGAAGGTAGCATATAAATCTGCTCGAATGGTTGACAATGTGTCACAACCACATTTCGCAAGCCTTAAATACTTTTCATTCATCCTTCGATCGCTCGTTAGAATTCGATGTATCGAGGATTTGCTTCTTTGAACGAGGCGCGAGCTCTATTGTTAGTACAATGATTTTCGTTATCGTGACGGGCGTCATTCACGACGTGAAAACACACGCATAAACCGGCTACGCAATCAGCTCTACATAAACGTTGACGATAACGAAAATAACTGCGAATCCTGGCCGATTTGAGGAGCCTTGAAGCGAGCAGAAAACGCGAACGAACGTCTCGTTGCTTTCGATTTAAACGCATCACGTGCAGCGTGGGTCACACGTACCGCTTTCATTCGGCGGAGAAGAGTATTCTTCGGGGTTCTATGTCGAAACGCGAAGAATTTGACGAGATGATAATAGAATTTTTAGTCTCGGTCAAATACTGTTCTGGAATAATGGAAATATCAATTTTGAATACTACAGGGTGCTTCAAACAAATGTTAATACTTGCACGGAGAATTTGTGTACATATACTGTTTTTTCTTTGCAAAAAGATTTCAAGGGTATATTGTCACTGATGGTGAACAAGTGCAGACTCTTCGAAGAGAAAATACATTTGTTAATATATGTTGTGTTATCAGTTCCGTTTTTCTACAGCAGTTATTTTCATACAATTTTTTGTATTCTTTTGCACCCTGCATTGTTCAGCACTCTTATTTTGCAGTGATTTCAAGTAGTCATGTGCATTTCTTAAAAGCATGGAATACTTTTCAATGTTATTGTACACTCTGGAAAATTGTTGAATATTAGTTATGAGTACTTGCAAAAATGCCTGAGTATTATTCTTAAGTGTCCTGGTTACTTTTAGTATTGATGCTTTTTAATATCATTACTTTCGTTGAATATTTTTATTATATTCCATTTTTGAGTACTTTTGAAAGTATTGTTGAAACATATCATATTCCTAAGTACTATTGAACACTTCCGAATTTGAATGAAGTAGGTACTATTGAGTATATATCCTCGAATTACCATTACTGAAGATTTTTCAACACAATTTTTTATCAAGCACCAATCACTTAAATTCATCTTCCATCTAACCAAGAAATGGAGAAAATTTCTAATTTTCAACTCACATATTTCTCTTCTCCGCTTATTTCATTAAACGTGTTAATAGTACTTAACATATCAAACGAAATGTTGACAAAAGCACGGTAACAAGTTCTCAACACGTGATATTCGTTTCTAGCAATTCCATCGTAATTTTCAATGCGTACGAAAACCTCCAATGAGAATAGAATTGAATCGATTATTTCATATACAACATTAGCAACATCTTCCAACATTTCAGGAAAAAAAAAATAGAAACTATTTCATTCCAATAATTCCTACCTCAAAAATCAGTGAAGAGTCCAGGTTTTGAACTGAACAAACCTAAATAAAAACCTTTGAAAAATGTCACATGTGTCTCTTCCGAAATAATCCATTTAATTATCGTTCCTGTAACCAAGGTATCAAACTTCTTTCCTTTGAATGTTAATTTAGCAATAGGTTCGACCTGATTCGTTGCACAGATGCTACGTTATTACGTTCTCGTGCAATAACTCTTATCGCCCAACTGTCATCGTTACAATTCGAGGAAAATTCACTAGCGGCGTTCACGTATGTGTGTGTTTGTTTGTGCGCGCGTAAGCTAATACGCACGTACTCGTCATGAATGCGTATCTTCGCGGGGATTAATTGTAAATTATTCCATGCTCTTTTCCCGTGGATCACTGCACATGCGTGTATGCACGCTCGAAAACGCTCTGAATAGACTCAAACGCTGCGTCTCCGTTTGAAAATCGTCGACGAGCCTCGTCAGACCGTCGCTTCGTATTCTCCCTACTTCATGTTTACGCGCGATTATGTTCTCTGTGAGATCACTTCAGAGAACATATTTCTAATCAAGTATTCCCCTGCAGTATGTTTATTTTGGTCTCGCACCGAACGAAGAAACAAATTTCTAAATTAGTTTTTTACAGACTTGAAACTCACGACACGAATGCATGACGATGCTCTTGAACGAATCTGTTTATTCTTACAATCGACCTTTCTGATACTTGCTGTCGATAGGATCGGCTCCGCTACTTTCGTATAAACAATTATTGATCCTCCGGAATAAGTTACTCTACCTACTTACTTAATTCACATTTCGAACTACTTAAACCCCTACCTCATACACCGCTCAAAAATGAAGGAAGAAAAACAACCGAACGAATCGTCAAAGAGTATGAAAATTTTAAATGAACTACGTCTAACAGTGTAATGAAAACAATAAGACCAAACATACTTCACCAAACGATGAAGCAACTCCAGCAGCCGATCTTCCAACTATTTTCGACAGTGTATCAAGTCGATCGCCTGATTTTCTTCACTTGATACAGAAACAGAGGCTGAAATTGATCCGTTGCAAGCCGTGGCAATTTCGAGAGGCAACGAAAACCGATAAGACGAATTTTCCAGCGTGAACGTTTACAACAATCGTCGACACACGCGCAATTTCTTCTTCTCGTCCCCTTTTTCCAATGCGTTTCCTATGTTTCGTATAACACTATGTACACTAAACGTCTACTTGTTCGAAAACGCGGCCGAGCTTTACATTAAATCCGACGAAGAGAACTGACCTCCCTCTCTATCGTTCTCCACCACCCTCTCCTTCTCTTTCACTCGCTCATTCTCTCATTTTCTCGCTCTCACACTCATACACACGCGCGCGCGCGCACACACTCGCAAACAATAGAAAGCTGAGCAAAGATTTGTTCGGGGGTGTGTGTATTTACAATGCCGATATTAATCGATCGTTTACAAACGAACCAACACCCGCAAGCTATTCCTTCAGCTACGAATAGAACGCAGAAGAAAAAAAAAAATGAAAATTCAAAGGAATAAGGGCGAGGGAGAAGAAAGAAGGAAATATCGAGTTCGATTCACGAGGAATCGATCATTAGGACGTATACAGTTGCTAAGGATGTCAATACTTAAATCAACCACTACACTATTGCACTACACCTTTTTACAATTACTCGTTTCTTCGTCCTGTTTCACGTCCTTTTTTATTTCTCCTTTGTTTCTGTTTTTTACACAAGTACGTCATAGTTTGAGTCTTTGGCTTTCGTCGTGCTCTCCTCTTCTTTGGTAGCTGTAACTCTCTTCTCTCACTTTCCATCATTTATCACTGTTCACTCTGGTGAATCGTCGATGTTTTCCTCCTTGGAAATGTTTACCTACACTCTTCCTCTTCAATTTCCTCCATTTCAATCACTGCCTCTCAGTCTCCAGAATCCTTTGATACTCAATCCTCCAATCACCAGAAAAAATAGTTCCCTCTATACAAATTCCATCACTCCACTCCCTCAATTTCACTTTTCTCAAAAAAAAAAAAAAAAAAAAAAATAAGAAGAAAAAAACAGTCAAGAACGACTCTTCTAAACCAGAGGAGAGAAGGCTGACGCCTGACTCCTGATCTCTCTGTGCTCCGACGGGCTGAGATCCAGCAAACCTCCACAGTTCTGATCGCTAGCCGCCTGTTTGCCAATCAGAGCGTCGATGCTGAAGTTCCTTTTCTTGTCCATTGGCGGATGGCTGCTGGGTATCACGGTGGTCCTCGTTGGCGCGGGGTCCATTTGCCTGATCGGTGGTGCAGTGATTGGTACCGGTTTGTACAATGGTGGCGGTGGTTCCAAGAAGCCACCTAACTTCAGAGCCTCCAAGGTCGAAGGAGAGAAGTCTAACAATGGCAAACCTGGCGGAGGAGACAAGTACGCTGCACTAGGATAAGTCAGAGCACCTGGATGACCTCCACCACCACCAGGACAAGGTCCCCGATCGCCACAAATAGCAAAAGTCGCCATGATTGCACGATCACGGAGAACATAATGTGGCGGAGGCCTCTTGTACCTCTTCCTACGACGCAAGAAGCTTCCATTATCGAACATATCCTCAGCCAACGGATCCAGAGTCCAGTAATTCCCTTTTCCAGGATTACCAGGCTCTCGTGGTATCTTGATGAAGCAGTCGTTTAAAGACAGATTATGTCTGATGGAATTCTGCCAGGCGGGGAACTTGTCGTGGTAATAGGGGAATCTGGACATGATGAACTCGCAGATTCCACTTAAAGTCAATTTTTTCTGCGGTGATTGGAGGATAGCCATCGTGATCAACGCTATGTAGGAGTATGGCGGTTTGATCAGGGACGAGGACATTTTGTCGTTACTATAGGACGATGCTTGACCTGTGCTGTTGTTTTTTTGTTGGTTGTTGGCAGACATCATCGAGTAGTTCTTCTTGCTACGACTTCCGCCACGGTTCCTCGAGGATGCCGTGGACGTCGGAACAGGAGAACTCGGGATGATTGGACTGGATGATGATTGTGATGGTGACAAGTCGTTCTTGTCCAGGCTCACCGGGTCGACGATCATGCTGCTGCTGTCGGAATCGCGGTCGCTGTCCGCGCAGCCATCGCACGACAGGTTCGACATCATCATCCCACGCGGCTCCATCGTGATCGCTTCATGGGCACATTGGCTGGTCGATTTTCACTGAAGTTCAATTTTTTCGATGCACAGAGACCCGCTGCTGCTGGAGATCTTCGTTGTCGTTCATGTTGATGCTCTTTCCTTTTCACTGATTCGTTCACATTTATAAATACGAACACGTGTACTTTTGTTAAAGTAGATTTGTTATTATTGGTTCTGTAACATTTCCCGTAGAAATTCTGATGAACATATGAATGGAATCACTGAACAATATGACACGAGAGTTCCACCTGCGACATGTTTTTAACGAGGCGACTGTCACACACGCGAGCACCGACGAAAATGCTATCTTACGCTAATAGTTTGTTTCCACAACGATAACGAGGGTTTTTTTTCTTTCCTTTCTTCACCCGTTCTGCGTGTCACCCACTGGTATATCTCAAGGATGTCGGCTCGCAGTGACGCACTCGACTTTATCGTCGACAGTCATCTCTGTTGCGCGGACCACCCGGTCACCGTCACGATTTTCTCTTGTGCTCGCTTATCGATCACTCTTGAACAAGAAAAATGTTCAAACTATTTTATACAAATTCACATTTTCAGTCTAACATGCTTTGGTCGCGAAATGTCCACTCTTACACTTGAAACACGAAGTAATAATCACAATAGACGAAGAGGAGATGATTAATAGTTATCAGTGCTGAATACGATGCTCGTCTAAACGGAAACACAATTGTCACACGGATGAGAAGAGCAGGTCTACACGAGTTCTCGATATATCACGTCCCCGTGCGAGGTTAGGTGTACGAAATGCGGTCGAAGCTTATGAAGCGCGATTGCGAGTGTGCCAGCGCCGTGGAGGACCGTCTACGAGGCGAAATCGTGGGTCGAATTGATTCGAAGTGACTGCTTTGGTCCTATACATGGGCGGACCAATGGGCGGGCATTTCAACCCCTCGCGAAGGGGTGGCCCCCCACCAGGCGTATCCGGTTGTGGACTCCCTCCACGTCCTCCTTCAAGAGAGAAGAGGAATCGTTGTCGTCACCACGAAACGAGGAGAAAGCCCCGGAGGGGACGTCGGAGTTAGGAAAATAGCGGGATAGATAAAGGGACTTTCGAGGCGGACTGGGGGTGGAGAGAGGGTGAAATTGTAACACTCCGGGGGCTGCTTTGCTTTGAGCGGCACTGCAAAAGGACCAGGCGTTACGTACTAATAGAACCTGCCGTACAAGCCAGCCCTCTCTCTGGCTATCGATACTCGTTTTGTCCAATGTTCTCGCTCACCTGCAACTTCCTCCGTGTCGACATGTTGCTTTTGCCATGGGGAAGGGTTATGGGGTATCCGCAATGCGATTGCTTCGCGGGTAGAGGGGCAGTCTAACGGGTGAGTCGTTTGTGTTAGGGGGTGTTTTTTTCCCTAGGATTTTCAGGAATTTTTAGATTGTTATTTATTTACTTACTTTGGATTTTCTGAGGTTCATAAATTGATTTTGAATATTTCACTGGTGAGGGGGGAATGACAGAAGGGAGTTTAACGGGTAAGACTGTAAAGTTAGAAACTGTTTGTTCATTTATTCGTTAGATTTTATTTATTATGAATTGATTTTTAATACTTCGTTGGGAATCAGAGGGAAGTCTTTGAAGTCAAGAAACATTTATTTTATCTTTTTCCTTATTTTCAGAGTTTTTAGTATAGAAGTTTGCGAATTAATTTCGAGTATTTTATTTTGTGGACAGAGGAATGGAAGTCTAATAGGTCAATTCTTCCAGTGAGGAGTTGTTTATTTGTTTATATAATTATTCGGATTTTATGGAGTCCTCGTGTTGAGATTTGTCATAATTACACTGCTTAAAATTGTAAGAAAAGCTTTACGAAGTAAATTCATTCGTTTTACTTATTCAAGATTCATTTGTTTAATAAAGATTCTTGGAGTATTATCATTCCACGTGATTAGAAATTTATGATTTAAAGTGAAAGAAAGGGAATTGAAGCGTTGCCTCAGATTTGCGTGTTTGTACTTTTTATTGGACTTAATAATAGTCTACCTTGTGTAAGGTTACTATCGTATCTTAATGATAAAGAAATTATTGTGGTGACATTTGTATTATACATTTCTCGCACACAGTTTTATATTAACAAAGTTCTTATTGTTAGATTGTTGAGTACTTCTGAATGTAAAATCATGTCCGAATATGTTTTAAAAATACCATTTGTTAAATTTAATAAAAATTCGATAAGCATGCATTAATATTAGAAATGTCTTCTTAATGAAAAGGCAATTTTATTACACTTACTAAGAAAGTAGCATAATTTAATTACAAAATATTTTATAAGTTATGCACGAACCCCATAGATTCGTTAAAATCTAAAATCTTTAAAATCGATTTCTCCAGAAAGCAGAACTTGTATAATAAAATTACACTTAATTTTCGATCTAATTTCTAGAAAGTGTCGCAAATAAATGCATCACTTATTTCAAAATAATCTATACATAATCTTTTTAAATATCCAAATGAATAATCTACTAGTTTTCGTTGAATACATTGTTTATTATTTCTCTCATTCTCCAAATTTCAAAGAACAAATACAATAGATTGGTTACATGCATTTGAGTTTCTACAAATAATTACACACTTCCTTAAATCTGTTCCCCAAAACAGTACACGTAAGACGACACACGGCAACGAGCGAGCAAAACTAACCAACACCAATAAAAAGAGAAAACAGAGAAATCTTCTCCGATGATTCCATAAATTCCCGCGCGAGATCCGGGACAGGAAATGGGCGATCGTCTAAATCGGCTGAGATCCCTCTCGCGGGTCCCAGCCAGGTCCTTGGATTTGCAGCCTCGAAATGGAGAACGATAGGATCCGTAGTATCGCCAACAGAGCGAGCCGAGCTGCACGCATCACGAGTTAACTTCCCTCAGGCAGCTCAAATAGAATCTGTATTACGCCGCGGTGGTACATAGAGGGTGCGACAAAGACGGGACTCGAAGTTGAGCGAAGAGGGGTAGATAGACAGACGGATAGAGAGAGAGAGAAAGGGGTATGATGATAGACAGAACACAATAAAGGTGAGAAAGAGAGAGAAAGAAGGGGTGAGAGAGAGAGAGGGAGAGAGAGAGAGAGAGAAGGGGAATAGAGAACGAACAAAAGAGAGAACGACTGAGAGAACATTGGTGAAACAGAGTGAGAACGGAAGGGGGATGGATGAAGGGGTTGAAAAGAGATAGCTAGAGAGAGTGATACAGAGAAGAGAGGAGAGTGGTATAGACGGATGCGTATCTACCTGAGCGCACTATCGGTTCACAGAGCCGAGCAGAGAGCGAATATTGTGTTTACCCATACGCACGGCTTTGCGATGCAAATAATCTGGTATTATTGCACTTACTCCGCGTACCAGTGAGGTTCTTCCGTGACTAGCACAGCTTCAACCCTTCTTTCCTTCCTTCTCCCTTAGCCAAGTATTTATTTACACGATACACCTATATACAGGATATGTATATGTATAATGGGTGTTTCACTTAACTTTATCATCTGAAATATTTCTGCTGTATTTCAAATTTCATAGAAGTGTCTTCTACAAGGGTTGCACAGTTTTTTGGGGTCAACAATGTTATTCCATTTGGAAGGATTAATGAAATACAAAGGTCAATTGTGTTTCTTTAAATAGAATTCTACATTTTCTTTTGTTAGTACCTGACAGAAACTTTAAAGGCGAAGCCGATCATTTATAATAATACGGTGTAATATTCAAGTCACCTATAACACAGCGGGGCCTGAAGGAACGAATTAATTGCAGCGTATGCACGACTATGGTCTCCTGAAATAATGCAACGCGTTACCCGTTCGATGACTGAACGATATTTAAAATGTATCGAAGTCAAGGGCGAGTATTTTCAATATCTTCGCTGAATTTTGAAATTAAGTAGAAATGCTAGTGACTCTTAGGACATGTTAATGAACAAGTGGAGCGTTCTAAAAGGTCGGAGCTTACACAGAACGATACTTTGCAGTAGCGATGAAGATTAAACAAAAAATTTTGTTTGCACGAGCTTTAGTGCCCTTGAAAGACTTGTTCCTCTTTAAAATTACTATCGGGTACTATTAAAAAAATGTAGAATTCCATCTAAAAACACCAAGTTGTCCTTTAAATTCCATTAACCCCTCGACAATAGAATAAAACTATTATTCCACTATTATTATTTCGGCCCCCATGAAACTATGCAAATTTTCTAGGAACCATTTTTATGATATTTTAAATATAGCGCAAGTATTTTTTGGTGACAAAGTTAGGTGAAACACCCTGCATATTCGTCGTATCGAAATGTATCCTGTTATTGCTGCTTTTTCCACGAATCCTGATTATTTACAGCGAACGTTCTCTGACCGGTTTCTATGAAGGAAGTTGCATGATATATTGTCCTCCCTCAGTGTTGCACAGAGTTGACGAACTGTTTTGTCATTGGCTTTTTGGATTTTCCAAGGAGTTTGTTCGTTCACTAGCAATGTCCGAAGTGAATTTTTGTTTTTAAGGAAATTTTATTATTTTAGGAGGATAAGTTTGGTTTGAATGGACATGTGAGTGTTACTTTGTATAATTTCGGGGTTTATGTAAATGTGTGATTCAATTCGTGACCATTATTACTGCACGCTAAGAGCGAATGCAGTAAGTGAATCGTTAACGAAGTTTTCGAACTTCGATACAAGGAAAATACGAAATGAGATGGAATAAGTGGAATGGGACAGTCTATTGTCAGACGCGTTATAAGACCGAGACGATCGCTTTGCAACTTTAAAAACTGTTCCGATTGAAAATCATTAGAATGAAATTTCCTAATGGTAGAATATAATCTTCTAAAATTATATCTTGTACCCTTGAATAATTTCCATAAAACGTAAGAGAAGTATCAGAAGAAAATAGCATAAGCAGCAACATTGAGAGAAAGATATATTAATTAGTAATATTCCTCCAATTACCATAAGACTGACATCTTTAAGAGTAAATGTTCGATTTTCAAAATAACGTGCTGGTTTGAGCTCGTCTAATTTCTCATATATTCTGCAAAATAAGACAATGCTTTTATCTCCCTTTCCTCCAAATTACTTCAAATATTAAATGAAATTACTCAGACAGGATATGAGTTACTGTAAATAAAATATAAACACAGAATGGATAAAAACCGAACATAGGTATCTACACATCAGCAAATAAATCGTGGATGTACTAGTAAAACACTAAATAAAAAAGTGGCCATTTTTACTTTATTGCGAGAAAGTGTATAAAAATTACCTCTTTGCATAGTAGTAACGTACACT